ACGCGCTTCAGTCTTGCCTGAGCTCTCGTGCCAGTGCCTGACCCCGGATCCCGTCCCGAGTCCCGGCCCTCCTCAGGACCTTCTTGGCGACTCGCCCTTTGACCTTTGGTCACCAGTGAGTCCCTCGTCCCTGTAGTTTTGCTGTCGGTATGCCGCGTGATCGCCGACCTGGCGGCTTCGTCCGAGTCATTCCTGACGTCGGCGAAGACGACCAGGTCCTGGCCGACGACGCCGCCGGCCCTGCCCCAGAGCAGGCCGCTAGCGCGCCGCCCGGCCCGGACCTGGCGGCCATGCTGCAGGAGCTCAACGCGCTCCGCGCCGCTGTCGCGGCCGGCGCCGTTGGCCCCGCTCCTGGTGCCGGTGCAGCAGCCGCTGCTGCTGCCCATGCCGGCCCTGCTTTTGATGTAGACGTAGTTAATGCCCACACCATGCTTGCGCTGCGTAAGGCAGTCCCGAGGTACGACGGGCGCGTCAGCTACGACGTGTACCGTCGAGACTTCGACGATTTGGTGAGCGCCTACCCAGGCCTCACGGACAGGCAGCAGTTCACTCTGCTGTCGTCCGCTCTTGAAAAAGAGCCAAAGTCCCTGCTTGAGTACCTGCCCGAGCGCACATTCGAGGCCTTGGACGACGCGCTGCGCATGGCTTACAGCAAGCTCGTGCACGCGCCGACCGAGATGCGTGCCTTCTTCGCGCTCCGTCAGAACTCTGACGAGGCGCTCGAAGAGTGGAGCACACGCATCAGCCGTGCTGCTCGCCGCGCCTTCCCCGACACGGCCCTGGTCCGCGTCGTGGAGTACTCGGTGCAGCAATTCATCAGCGGCCTCAGCGCTGCTGATGTAAGGAACGCGGTTGCGGGATGCAGCTACCCCACCATGGCTAAGGCCCTCGAGGCCTGTCGCTTGGCGAGGTCGCGGTGTCCTTCTCCGCCTCCTAAAAAAGATGCGCACTGCTGCTGTGTGCGAGGCCACCGTCGTGGCAGGCCCGTCGTCCTCGACGGCAACCTCCACGGCCTCGGCCCCCGCAGCTGCACCCGCCGACTCTGTTGCTGCTAGACTGGACGAGCTTTCGAAGCAAGTCCAGGCTATGGTCCGCTTGACTCAAGCTGAGTCAGCCCCGGCCGGCGCGTCGCAGGCCAACAATGGCCAGGCGCGTGGCCGCGGCGGCCGCGGCAGCCCGCGCGGCAGCGGCGGCAACAGAGGAGGAAGGGGAGGTGGTAGTGGTAGCAGAGATGGTGCCTGCTACACCTGCGGTGAGAAAGGCCACTTCTCGGCGAACTGCCCGCGTGACGCTCCGCGCCCCCACCCCTACGCGCAACCCGCGGCACAGCCCGCTGCGCAGCACATGGCTGTTCAGCCCGCTCCGTGCTCCGGCTCCGCGCTGGTGCCTGTGCCCCCCATGCCCCCTATGCCCCAGTACTACCATGCGTCTCTCTCTTGGCCCATGGGAGCACTGCAGGGGCAAGGCCAGGGCATGGTGGCTGCAGCTGGACCAGCTATCGTGGCCATGCCAACCCCGCCCCCGTCGGGAAACGGAAAGTAGCCTCTCTGAGCACTTGTGCTGACGGGACAGATGAGGTTATTACGGTTTCTCCCGTTGGGTCCCCGTCATGCGTTTTCTCGATTTGTAAGAAAAGCGTGACTTGTATTCTTGACACCGGCGCACAAAT